CTCGCAGCCTATGATTATAGAAATACTTTCATGTGCCCCCCCACACAGTTACAATCCCATGTGCGCCCCCCTTGTGGTCACAATCTCATGTGCCCGTACTCGCAGGCCATGATGACGAGAGGAGATTGGTATATTATCTAATTTATGTATTTCATTTTTTATTAATTTAATATGCATTCAAAGTAATTTTTTATTTTGATTTTCATTCTCTACCTGCAGCGATTAACCTATATAGGGACGCTACAAGCTGCACCTAGGAGTGAAGTATTAGCAGGGAAATCAAGACATTATGTACAAGCAGCACATGATTTGCTATTGCAGGATACTCTTATGGAGACAAATGCTGATGAGAGGGTGGAGGGAGATGGTGGAAGCGAGAGCGAGGAGAGAGATGGTGGAAATGGCGAAAGTGGAAGCGATGAGAGAGATGATGGAGATGAAGAAATCAAGAGAGATAAGGTAGACAGTGGAGATGAAGAAAGCGAGACTGAGGAGGGAGATGAGGAAAGCAAGACTGAGGAAGGAGATGAGGAAAGAGAGAGCGAGACTTATGATAAAAATGAGAGGAGAACAAAGAGTAGAAATGACAATAGCAAAAACTGACAAATTCAAGTTGTGCCGGCCTTGCATGAGACTGAGGAAGGAGATGAGGAAAGAGAGAGCGAGACTTATGATAAAAATGAGAGGAGAACAAAGAGTAGAAATGACAATAGCAAAAACTGACAAATTCAAGTTGTGCCGGCCTTGCTTGAGACTGAGGAAGGAGATGAGGAAAGAGAGAGCGAGACTTATGATAAAAATGAGAGGAGAACAAAGAGTAGAAATGACAATAGCAAAAACTGACAAATTCAAGTTGTGCCGGCCTTGCATGAGGAATCAAGGTGGAATTTGCGATCAAGAAGAGAGAGAGAGATGTCCAAGCAGAAAGAACTAGGGAGAAACCCGTTGTAAAGGGAAAGGGTATTACAAGCTGGCAAAAAAAATGGCTGAGGCGAAGAAAGTGATTCAGTTGTATTTTTCAATTGATATGTATTTTTGAGTTTGATATGTATGTTTGAAACATATGTTAAGTAGTGAGTTTCTAAGAGTGAAATGTCCATTCTTTTTGTACAATTGAAGCTACTCTATCAAGCAGCCAGTTAATGAAATGTCCCATTCTAATAGATATTTGAACTTTGAAGTCGCATGTCTTCTTCTTGGCATTTTATTTTATTTGTCTTTTTTAATTTAATTTGTATCATAGTATGTGCAACTGAGGACATGATTAAGTGTGGCTATGGTTTGTTAAGTTATGGGCATCTGAGGACAAGCATTGAAATCCCTGGGTGTGGCTATTGGTTATGGACAAACATTAAAATCCCTGCAATTTATAAATGACACTGATGAAGCTCTGCAAGGAGCTTCTAGAAATTCACAATGTATAAATGTCACTAATGAAGATCTGTTATGGGTAGTCTGACGTTAATTTGGGGTGCTCCGGCGGTCTTGAGGTGCCAGTTCGGCGTTAAAGTGGGACGGTTCGGCGGTCCTGTGGAGTAAGCCCGGCGTTTAAGTGGAACGGTCTGGCGGTTAAGGAGGCCAGTCCATATTGCGGTCTGGCAAAAATGAAGGGCAATCCGGCTTTTTAGGTAGAATAGTCCGGCATATTTAAGGGGCAGTCCAGCTTTTGTGTCACTAGAACTGCCCCGGTTTGGCATTATGAGGGGTAGTCCGACGGTTAGGAAGCCAGTCCCGCGTTCAATACTACGGTCTGACGATTAGGAACTGTCGGTCCGGCGTTTTCATGGGCACACCGGCGTTTGATCTCACTGGAACTGCCCGGTCCGGCGTTCTGTGGACCAGTCCGGCGCTATGGGTGGTAAGTCTGGCATTTTTATGGGATAGTCCGGTGTTTGTCACTGGACTGCCCCAGTCCGGCGTTATGAGGGGCAATCTGGAGTTGTAGAATCCGACAATTTTATGGGGCAGTCTAGCGTTTCATGTTACTGGAACGGCCCCAGTCCGACGTTCTGAGTGGCAGTCCGGCATTTTGGGAGCTCAGTCCGGCATATTTAGTGGGCAATCCGGCGTTTATGTCACTGGAACTACCCCAGTTCGGTGTTTTTAGGGGCAGACCGGTGGTTATGGGGGTTTGTTTATTGCGGTCAGGGGATGTTTGCCGTTGGAGGGGCGTTCCGGCATTTTATATATTCGATCTGTTAATTACGTTGTATTGGACCCGAAAATAAATTTTTAAAGTATGGGAAGGGTATCTTCATAAAAAAAAGCTCATTTTTTGTATTGGGGGTATTTGTTAGGAAAGTTGGGTTTTAAAAAAAGATAGTGAAGAAAGTTTAGGTGGGGGGGTAAGTTGATAGAATAACTGTTTTTCTTTTGGGAGGGGGGGTAAG